TGCGTCGCCGACCGAACCCTGTAGAGACGGAAAACTGACTGCCGCAGCTCTGGAGGCACGAGCTGCGAAATCGTAGCATTGTACAAGTCCTCGCCCGTCCCCCACAAACGTTCTGGAAGTGTTTGTTGAAGGTCTACGAACTCTTGCGCTTGTTGATACGGGTGCCGCCGTATCTGTAATGAGTCAGAAACTCTGCCGTTCGATACGAAAAGTAACGACGCCGCCTTACGACGTTTTGCTGAATACCGCGAGTGCGCAACCACTTCGACCAGTCGGAACATGTACGGCGAGAGTAAACATTCAGGACGTCCTGTACCACATCGAGTTTCTCGTGTTGACCACTTGTGCCCACGACGTGATACTTGGATGGGATTTTTTGTCACGCCACCACGCCGTAATTGACTGCGCTCGCGCGCAGGTGGAATTATCTGTGTTTTCAGATGCGCCATCTACCGACAATGAGCGCACTCACCTGGGCAAGCTTCTTGTTGCTTCCGACGTTGATGTTCCTCCTCTTAGTGCCATCGTTGTCCCCGTCAATCGCACTGAATTATCCAGCTCTACTGTTGTGTTCTCCCCATCTGACGTTTTCAGTCGCCGCCACGGTACGTCTCTGCCATACGCCGTTCTGCCAGCTCACCAGGATACTTCCGGAATAGTCGTTTGCAATCCTAGCTCATGCCCTCTCACCTTAAGGGCTCACGAAACACTGGGCTATGTTCATCCTGTTGATGACAACGTTATTGTGCCTATTGAGTCCCACGACCCTGGCCAGCAACTTCAACTGAACGCCGTTACTCCTCTTTTTACGCGGGATGACTACTCCTCGGATATCTTCAATCGTTCCATCGACAGCAAGCTTCCTCCGGATCAACGGGACCAGCTAATGACCCTTCTCCATGAATTTCGAGATTCATTTGACCTTCCTCAAAAGGCACTGAGTCAAACTAACACCGTCGCTCACACAATCTACACTGGAACGCACCCTCCTTTGCGGCAGCGCCCCTACGGCGTATCACCCAAGGAACGAAGTGTGATTGCAGAACAGGTGGATGATATGCTTCAGCGCGGTGTCATCAAACCATCTTCTAGCCCCTGGTCTTCACCTGTGGTGCTAGTGAAGAAAAAAGACGGTTCGATTAGATTTTGTGTCGACTACCGGCGACTGAACAAAATTACACGGAAAGATGTATACCCTCTTCCCCGCATCGACGACGCCATCGATTGCCTACAAGGTGCCGAATTCTTTTCTTCGCTCGACTTACGTTCAGGTTACTGGCAGGTTCCGATGGCAGAGTGTGACCGTCCCAAAACAGCGTTCGTTACGCGGATGGCCTATACGAATTCATGGTTATGCCATTCGGTCTGTGCAATGCACCTGCAACGTTTGAGCGAATGATGGACAGCATTTTACGCGGCCTTAAATGGCAGATATGCTTATGTTAGCTCGATGATGTTATTGTATTTTCTCCTGATTTCCCTACCCACGTCGACCGTCTGCGCACCATTCTTCAGTGTCTTACCAAGGCAAACCTCCAGCTTAACCTAAAGAAGTGCCGCTTCGGGGCTCGCCAACTTACGATACTTGGTCACGTTGTGACAAAGGATGGAATTTGCCCCGATCCAGACAAACTTCGAGCCGTAGCCGACTTTCCGAAGCCGAGTTCACTCAAAGAACTTAGGAGCTTCATCGGCTTGTGCTCGTATTTTCGTCGTTTCGCCCAGAACTTTGCAACAATAATAGCCCCACTTACACAACTACTGAACGGTCCAGCTAATCTTTCTAACTGGACCCCAGCATGCGACGAAGCTTTCCTTACACTGCGCCGCCTACTTACGTCCCCACCGATTCTACGCCATTACAACCCAAGTGCCCCCACTGAAGTGCACACAGATGCCAGTGGCGTTGGTCTGGGAGCAGTACTCGCGCAACGAAAGCCAGGTATTCCAGAGTATGTCGTCGCATACGCAAGCCGCGCACTCACGAAGGCGGAGATGAACTACTCCGTAACTGAAAAAGAATGTCTCGCGATCGTTTGGGCGTTAAGCAAGTTTCGTCCTTACTTGTACGGACAGAGTTTCGACGTTGTGACCAATCACCATGCACTTTGTTGGTTGGCGTCGCTAAAAGATCCTTCAGGTCGCCTTGGACGTTGGGCTCTTCAACTACAAGAATTCGACATTCGTGTCGTCTACCACTCAGGACGAAAACACTCTGATGCGGACGCCCTCTCACGATCACCAGTGAGATCCACCGCAGACCTGCATTCGGACACTAACTTCTCCATCGCTCCCATTTCCATCACAAGCATGTCGTCTGAACAGCGGAAAGACCCATGGATAACATCTCTCCTTAACATTCTTTCCAACTCTTCAAAGTCTGCGTACCCACGCTCTCTTTGCCGCCAAGCCACACATTTCGCGATACGGGACGCGCAACTATATCGCAGAAACTACCACGCGGATGGTCGTAAATGGCTCTTGGTTATACCACGCCACATGCAATCTGATGTCTGTGCGTATTTTCATGCCGACCCACAACATGCTCACGCTGGTGTGTTAAAAACATATCAGCGGATCTGCCAGCGTTACTACTGACGTGGTATGTACACTTTTGTACGAAAATACATTCGGTCTTGTTCATTATGCCAACGACGAAAGACAGCTGCCCATTCACCCGGATTATTACAGCCTCTACCGTGTCCGGCGCACCCTTTCGACCGCGTTGGTATCGATTTATATGGTCCCCTTCCTTACACTGCCACTGTAAATCGATGGATCATTGTCGCCGTCGACCATCTGACGAGGTATGCTGAAACAGCTCCACTACCTACAGCTGGTGCACGTGACGTAGCCAATTTCGTTTTGCGACGCTTCGTACTGCGTCATGGGGCACCGCATGAACTACTAAGTGATCGAGGGCGTGTCTTTTTATCCGAAGTTGTACAACAACTCCTTCAGGCATGCCGCACGGTGCACCGCACCTCTACAGCCTACCACCCGCAGACCAACGGTCTAACTGAGCGCTTCAACCGAACGCTAGGAGACATGCTCGCCATGTATGTCAATTCCGACCAATCAAACTGGGATGTCATTCTCCCATTTGTGACCTATGCGTACAACACCGCGACGCAGTCAACCACAGGCTTCTCGCCTTACTTTCTTCTATATGGGCGTGAGCCATGCTCCACACTTGACACCATTTTGCCGTATCGTCCCGACGTCTCAGAGTTCAGCCCTCTTTCTGAAATTTTGCACCACGCTGAAGAGTGTCGTCAGTTGGCCCGATCATTCACCTCGGACAAGCAAGCATTCGAAAAAGACCGCCACGACCGCGACCAGCAAGTCGAGACTTTTGCCGTGGGCTCGCTTGTCTGACTTCGACTGCCCTTCCACTCCCCAGGTCTGTCCGCTAAGTTTGCCCCCAAGTTTCACGGTCCTTATCGCGTCGTCGAACGTCGATCTCCTGTCACATACGTCATCGAGCCGGTCACGCCATCTACAGACAGGCGATGCCTTGGTCGTGAGACTGTCCACGTGAGTCGTCTTAAGCCATATCACGACCCACTCCTAATCTCATCACCTTGACTTGCCAGGATGGCTCGTCTTCGTCGCCGGGGTATTGTAGAGAGGAAGAAGATGTGCCGCAGTGGGTCACACCTTTAGGAAGAGGAGCCGAGCGCGAGCTGTTGCCCCGAGCGTTGTGTTTCCTGCGTCGGTTCCTACCGCCCGCTTTCCGCATCAATAGACCTGCTGTGAAAGTACTACTTGCGCCAATAAACCTCGTTCCAATGGGATTTATGCTTCTATGTCGGTGTGAAAGTTGGCTTCATAGCACTGCTTTGCGGCAGTTGCAGAAAGGCTGCTCCCGGGCCATACACAATCTTCGTAATTACTTTTTAGTTTTCTACTGTATGTTGCTGTGGGCACGAGTTAATGAAATGAAAAGGTGGGTTAGACACGAGAAAATATAGTGTGCCACTACAAAATCTATTCTTTAAAGCTTACCATTTTGTATACGTTCATGGTACGCTGCTAGTTAACATCAGCAGGAATATCTAGCAGCGTTGATGGCACTGTGTATAACAATCTTTGGGGGCGCTTTCATGAGGTCATCTTCGATACTGCAGATGAATTTGCAGCTAGAAATCGCAAAACAAAAAATGTCGCTGGGACCTGCATTTTTAAATATGGTCTTTCAATTCGCAGAATTTCTTGTTATTATACACTTGAAGTCTTTTATAAGAGACACTGATGTAACAGAGGCATGAGAGGCAATCGTGTTTATAGTGAAATAGGGATTAAGAATGCACAAATGTGGTAACCTGGTTGTAGCGTTGTTACATTATAACAGTAGGAAGAAACAACATGGACAGGAAACAGCACTGACTTCCAATTGAATATATTGAAGTTGCTACGAACGGTTTTCCGCAGAGTGCAAGATCAGCGCTCATGATGTGCAGTGCGCATGTGCAGCGACGCGTGTGACTATGCACAACATTCTCAACTCGGAAAATGTTACTCACTCTCAGATAGGAGAAGTGGTTGGGTACTGAGGCATCGATCCATGGCCTTCCTGATAAAAATGTTTTTGTAATCTCCCTTTTATCTTTTGTTTTTGCTTTTCTTCAAGAACCATGTTTTATGGAATACAGTCGGCGTTGGATTTCCTGGACCCTCAAGGGACTGTGAAAACGTCCGTAAAATTGGGCAGTCCAGAAAAATTAGTGCAAGTGAAAAGACACTTTTTAATGGTATTTTTCGCTGACGGAGAGGGTCATGGCCAGTCTCGGCAGGAGTGCAGGATTCTCATTGCGGTGCAACGAATGCATCACCTAGGTGCCCTGAAAAGAGCCGTTTATATCAAAGAAAAAAAAATTTTTAATACTGATGAGGTCGGTGCTAACGCATTTGTAAACACTTGAGCACCAAAAATGAAAAAGTTGCTTATTTTCATTTGCATGACGTTTCACCTGCTCGCAATTAAACGTTGCTCACAGGTCTCCAAGGCAGTCACTGTTGCCAAGGCGGCGACTGCATCGCACGGCAAGTTTGCCGGCACACTCAAAGAAGAAAAGAATGTTAAAGTCAGACGCGCGAAGCGCAAGGTGAGTTGCTTTTGCTTTCTTTTTCTTGCTAAAAGAATCAATTACTCTCATTAAACGGAACCTGAAGTAACCAGAAAAATGTTTCATTTAACAGAAGTTCCATTTACTCGGAGATGAACATGGGTGCAGAATACCAGCGTGAAATCTATCAAATCAGAGGCAATATATCCGTTTAAGCAGCAACTCCGGTAATAAGAGACATCTGTTTACTGTATTTCATCCTATCAACCAGGTTGCTTGGCAGTTATGTCATGGCATACTGGTTCATGCTAGAAGAGACTAGGCATGCAAACACATACACAAAAGAGAAGGCAAGACACCACAGACACCAGGTGCCTTGACGCTTTGGGTGACTCTATTGTGTCAGGATTTGCATGCCTCCTCTTTCGTGGCATCAATATGTATGGCTAGCTTAGCTGTCTGTCATTCGACATACTGGTGTTTGTACAAGCGTCCCGATACAGAAAAAATTAATCACATGCTATTTACTTAGTGTGCTATAAATGCACATAAACCTCATTATGTAAGGAATGAAGAAGTGTAACCTTGAAGGCTCGTTTTCTTTGTTGGACACACAATGAGAACTAACAGAATATAATGCCAAGGAAAGTACAGGGGATCCTATCAGAAGTAATTGTAATGTAATTTTTGAGGAAGGAAAGGTGGCCAAAAGGAGCATGATTGATGAGTGTGGTTTAACGTCCCAAAACCACCTTATGATTATGTGAGGCACCGTAGTGGAGGGCTCCGGAAATTTCCGCCACCTGGGGTTCTTTAACGTGCACTCAAATCTGAGCACACGGGCCTACAAAATTTCTGCCTTCATCGGAAATGAAGCCGCCACAGCCGGGATTTGATCCCACGACCTGCGGGTTCGCAGCCTTAGCCACTAGACCACCGTGGTGGGGCATCAAAAGGAGCATCTGATGCGTTATTAAAAGGTTGCTGGTTCGGTCCCTGCCCGTGGCAATTTATCTTTTTGTTCACTGTTTTTTCTTCACACCTATGCTACAATTACTTCTAATAGCATTCCTTATACTTTCCTTGGCATTATTATCTATTACTTGTCATTAATTATATAATGAAGTTGCTTCTGGCAGGAAAACAACTTGGAGGGAAGTTCGTTATAAACAAATATTCGCTGCACTTTGTTGTTGCCTAGCTATTTTCAATAAAATTTCAATTATGAGTAATTCTTTACATGCATACTATATGCCTCAAAATTTTTCTGTATTTAAGTTTAGCAAACAAATGAGCACCTATGCATGATGAGAAAAACTAGGGAAGCACAAACATAGCAACTATTGAGTGTTTATTGGCATTGTGCAGGCCCTACGCAGGTATGCAACTAAAGGAAACTTAGTGCAGAAGAACTTCAGGACATTGGAAGTTCGTGGTTAATACTCATTGTGCAGTCCAATTAACATGTGTTTAGTTAACAAAAAAGTGAGTTTTCAGGGCTCATTGCATTGTTCCATTTGGCCTTAATGAAAAGCAGCGCATGATAAAGCCAAGGAACACATTGGGGTACTGGGGTACTGTCCTTTTTTAAATATGTTGTAGGGATCGTAGTATAGATGGGAAGAAAATGAAGTTGATGAAAGGACAATTTGTTGCTGGCTGGGGCCAATTCTGCAACCCTCAGATTATGTGCCCGAGGCTCTATCAATTCACTTTCTTCACTGACAGTGCTCATTAACTGCCGTGACGCCGTAGTAACGTTCCTAGATTTTACTAGCAGATTAACACTCCCAAGTTTGGGCGTACATAAATACTGCACTATTATGTGGACATGGGGACGTCTGCCACCATAGCTTGATAGGTACAGCACTGGACGCGTAATCCGAAGGTTGCAGGCTTGGTCCCTGCTGACGAGATGTTGTCTTAACCCAGGTTTTTAACCAAATTTGATCAAATTTGGCATGCTTGTTTAGCTTGATCTACAAACCGGTATTTTAAATATGCATTTGTTTTTTTCTGTGGGTTTGTTAATTTTCTACAGTCAAACCTGCTTATAAATAACTAGCAAAAAGTGGCTATTGGTTCGATATTTATAGCTTGCACGCAACATAACGGTCGCAGATCCTCAACGCATCAGTACTCCAACATGGCGGCTTTGATGACCTCAAGGTAGCATGATCACACGACAGCTAATCTGAATCAAGGTCACAGTGATGCCTCTGGAATACTTGTGGCTTCTGTGCAAGAATAACAAAGGAAACTGCATGCGGCTACTGATAGGGTTGACATGATATCACGATTATTGCGTCCCACCATGTTGGTAGACCAACATAGCGGCTTCAGTGATGTCTGTGCAAGTCATTTATATCTTGTAATTCTATATAGAAGTTTTATGGATCGCATATAATCAAAGGTGATTTCGATGCCAAGTTGGCTTCGTGGCTCTGCTTCCCGATAATGCAAAAGGAAAAATGTGGTTTCACCGAAGTAACTAGCAAGGGGACCTTTTTTATTAGTTATTATTTTTCTGCAGTTTCTAGTAGGTGAGCGTGTCATATGCAATGGCAGGTTATACTTGAGAAAACTTGGTATATGTCAATAGTGCCTCACTGCCTTCATGCACAGCTGTGCTTGCTTGTCAGGCATTGGAAGCCTCTGATTTGTGTTGTCCTAACATGTGTGTTCTTCTTCATTATTGTACTTTGTGTCCCTTTTTTGCAGCGGCAACTTCAGGCTCCTTCTACGTTCCGAACATGGCCATCTTTGCTTAGAACAACAGGTCTTTCAGTTTTACAGCAGCTATGACATTAACAAAGTGTCAGATAATTGCGCACAACAGGCCGGCAGGCATGACGAGTAGGCTGGTGCGAATATCTGAGCACTTTGATTATTAGAACGAAAATACAGTGCTCGAATTTGCTTTGATGCGAATTCAGAGTATTAAAAATTTCAAGGTTCAAAATGAATAAATGGTGTACATTGGTGTGCATCTAACCCCCTACTGTAAAAGTGGTTTTACTGCAGTAGAGGAATGCTATTCACTCCAAGATTGAGCAAATTCGCCTCCTGGTGGCCACTGGATGAAGCGTGTCTAGTGTGGCTTGCTCCCTGCGCCGCCTGACAGCCCGATATGCTAGCATGTGCTCATCCTGAAAGGGCGGTTTGTCCCGCTCTGTTAGCGCAAGAGTACCTGCTGGTACGTTTGCCTAGCACTGTCTACAGAAGCATTTGGCCTTGCTCGACTGAATATATACTGTAATGAGATCAGGTCAGGAACTTGCCAAAAGTGCTGTGTATTGTCGTCGTAGCCTTCATTCGCCAGAATCATGTCGGTGTAGGTGCTACTTTTTAGCTGAAGCACATCGTAAAAAACACTTGGTGTCGTCCAAAGCAGGAGGAATAATAAATATTGCATGAATGAAGCGTTTTAACGACTGAAGGATAAACGAAGTTGTGTGTTGTTAGGTGTATAACTGTGGCGCTGTTGTTTATTGGTTATGTAATGAGGTTTAATCGTACTTGAGATGACCTTTCATTGTATGGTCCTCGTCGCACTACATTGCTGTCAAATAAATTCTGACACTTTGGTACTTAAATGTCCCTTAAAATAGACAGAAAAATGGAATGACACGGGGGTAATTAAACTTGAGTTGCCGTGTGCAATTTTAACATCGGGCGAAATTTACACAGACACACCTGTGTTTTTAGATTTGGGCTCGGTTAAAAGAATTCAGTTTGCCAAAATTAATCCAGACAGTGTGCGTCACACATCTCGTATGATTTCACACAGAACATAGTTTTTTTTTAGTGCTTTGGTGGTGTTGTGATAGACTGACAAAAGGAGTGGACACATATTCGCTTGAAAAATAAAACTTTTGTCTCATCAAATAATCGAACATTTGTTGCATCACTGTGATATACATAGTCAACCTAAGAAAGCTCTGGCTGAACTCTTGCCTTCTTATACTGTTATCAAAGAACAAGCTCGCTCAAGCGCTGTCAAACACGTTGCTTTCCTGAGTAATAAACTGTGCTACATTTATTTCATGAAAAGCTGAACAAGACAAAAAACGGATACGGAATTACGATATTCTTGGGCAGTGAGCCCTAAAATCTCAAAGTTACTTTTTTTTTTAATCCAATACCAGTGTGCATAAAGAATTCAGTCGTGCTACAGCAGTGCGTAGTAGATATGACACAAGCTCAACATTTCAAATCAAAGTACAAAAAACATGACACAGCACGAAAGCACAATCACCAAGCATGGTGATATGGTGACAGACAAGCATGGTGACAGACAAGCACCAACATGGTAGATATTGTTTCTATCACAAGTAATAGTAATGTTTAACGAGCTTCGTGCATCCATTCAGCAATAGATGGCATATATATATTACGAGTAGGCAGCAATGAATGCATTTTATTCACGGACAATCGGCTCGCACTGCTCAGAATATGCGCTGCTGCATTCATTTGCATGCACGCCGCCAGCTGCCTATCCACACTAGTACGTTGATGGTGCTGCCCCCTATAGCCCTATCTCGGGGCGAATACCGTGAATGCACTTTTCCAGGAAAAATTTGCACTGCCGCGAAGCTCTTCTTCAGTGTTAAATGAATATATTACCTTCATATCTATTCATCATGCTTTAAGAATAAAATCCTGTTATACAGGCTGGTATGTTCTAAGGGTAGCAAATATTTAGCGTTACATATTTTACAAGTTGCATTCCACCCAAATCCTACAACTCTTGAAAGCTACTTGCGCTTCCTTTGAAGCAAAAAAAAAAAAAAAAGCATTTCTACATGCCTTGTTTCAATTAGTGAAAGAAAATTGTGCAGGTTAGTTGGTTGATGACAGATATAGTACAAATATACTATTTTGATTTGATTCAAAATTATTTGACGAAATCACTATTTGCTTTGAACCTAAAAATAGCTATTGGCACAAGCCTAATGATTAAATTGGATCACAGGAAATATTACGTGACGATAAGCAATAGTTTCAACTGCATCAGTGTGGTTCTGTCCTAATCACAC